ACCGAGATATCGGCACTCCGTTCAGGTAGACTGGAACCCGCCAACCACGAGATCATGGGTTGGCCAAGGTAATTCCTAAACGATCATCTAATCGGGTGTGTGTGTGCGTGTAAGGAAACGAATTTTTGGGTGTGTGTGTTAACTAACCCCAAGGACCCATAGACATAGTTTGGGTACCAAAGTGTTGCTTTTTTGCAGGTACATATCAAAGTGAGGAACTCAGGGGGAACCGGCGATGGGTGGTTTATACCATCGCTGGGAAGGAAGTATTTTCTAACCAGCAACCCTCTTCCCATCGATGGGAACTTCTTCCCATCGCTGGGTGTTTGACACTTTTTTTAAAAATTTTTTTAACGGATTTCCAGTAGCTGTCTTCCCATGGATGGGAGAACCTTACCATCGCTGGGAAGGCTGCCTTCACTTTTTCCTCCATTGCAAGTACATGTCTTCCCATCGATGGGAGAACCTTACCATCGCTGGGAAGCCTGTTGCAGTTCAAAAATCACAGCCGTTGGGCACCTCATTCAATGACCAACAACCATATTTTTTAACACCAAGGGCCCAAATTCTCATTTTATAAATATTAACCATCCTTGGTCATTTTTAACACACAATTCACATTCCTCTTGCATACTTTCTAAATGCTTCAACAATGGCCAGAGGAAAGTCAAGGACAAAAACCGAAGCTTCAAAGAAGAAGGCCAACACCGATGCCACGACATCTTCTTTATTTTCTCCTTATTGATTGTATTTTCATCCGTTGTATTCTGCATTTCCCTTTTAATGAATAAAAGTTTACTTTTAATTCTTTTTGTTAATGTCAAAAGGGGGAAGATATAAAGGTTATGCATAAATTGAGGGGGAACTTTTTCTAAAACTAACTCTTATTCAACACATAAACTTTGTTGAATGCCAAACCGCCGTGAACGAGACAAGTTATTGAATATACAAGGCGAGAAATAAATATAAGTAGAAAGCAAGAGAACAAGACCCAAAAGAAGACCAAGAACGAAGACCGTTGTCTTAGTGTTGTTGAGTCGGTCATAATTGTGATCAAGACCGACCCAACCTTTACACCTTGGCTCTTTAGGCTAAAATTCTTTTCATTGCATTTCACACATCATAAAAATTTTTTTCAAACATGTTTAAAACATTAAAAACACTTGGTGTTCGCCCAAACCAAAAATCAAGCCATCCGGCGTTCGGGTTTCAGAAATCGGCGTTCGGCATTCGGTTTTCGGACTAACCAAGTGGTTTTCAACTTTTTATGACTGGTTTTTACTTCTGGGCACATTTAAATAGTTTTTCATCAAAAACACTTCAAAAACCACCTTTCGTTTTTTGTCGTTTGATAAAAACCACGCGAAACGGCATAAACTTGGCTAGTCGTGGTTTTTACTTAAATGAAGTGGTTTTCAAGTCTTTTTGTGTGGGAATTGTTTTTGGATGCATTTAAATGGTTCTCCAATCAAAACATCATGAAAACCACCTTTCGGTTTTGTCTTTTGGTGAAAACCACCCGTGTACGGTGTTGACTTGGTCAACCGTGGTTTTTACCTTAACGACGTGGTTTTCAACTTACAAAGCTTGTTTTGACATCAAAATACATTAAATAAGTGTTTTATATACTTAGTTTTTACTTTGGAGAACTTTGCATTTTTCGGTCGGGTTTCAGCGCCGGTTAGCTAGGCCATGGTTCTGGGCTAGCCATCTACCCAGCGATGGTAGATTTCACNCGTTGCCGGAAGCTGGTGAATTCCAGGATCTGAGGCAGCAGATCCAGGAGATGCAGAGGAAGATAAACAAGGGTCGAGTATTCACCACCCGTACGAATACTCCCTTAGCCCCGGAGATCTTTGCGGAACCATACCCGCAGAGGTTCTAGATGCCATTTGTTAAGCGTTATGATGGGGAGTCAGACCCTCAGGAACACATAAACAGTTATGTCCAAGTGATGATCGCTGTAGATGCCAGTGACGCACTCATGTGCCGGTGCTTCTTGCAGACCGTTGATAGCAAGGTCGCGGATTGGGTCAACCATATCCCTGCCGGATCGATCCGGACTTGGGATGAATTGGGACTTCGGTTCCTAGAGCATTTTGCTGGGAACTGTCGTCCCAAAAAGCATTTCACTCACTTGGCGTCAGTACGACAGAAGCATGGAGAATCCTTGAAGAATTTCCTTATCCGATGGAGGAAAGAGTCCAGGGAGGTTGAAGGAACCGATGATAAGTCCAGGTTGGCTATGTTCACGGCGGCATTGCAGGATGGACTCCTTCACACCGATCTCACTACTCATCCCCCGGATACCTTCGAAGAAGCAATGGTCTGGGCGGGAAGGTATGTAACCCTGGAAGAAAGAAAGGAGGAGAAGAAAGAGAAAACTCCTAAAGAAGAAGAGAAGTTGGGGAGTAAGAAGCCGTTCAAGAACAAGAAGCAAGGCTTCCCGGACGGACCAAAGGGCGCAAATCCTGGGACTTCGGAGAAGCATAAATCTGCCAACCCGGTCTTCACATTGCCAGTGGCTGAGGTCATGGCCCATGCTGCACAGCAGGGACTCATGACTTACCCAACCTATTCTCAGAAGGTCTGCAAAGTGGAAGATACTGGAAAATGGTGTGCCTACCATCGCAAGAATGACCACAACACGGAAGATTGCTATACTCTGAAGAATGAGATGGCAAGGCTAATCCGCCGGGGTCATCTAAAGAAATTCGTACAAGATGGCGATGCAGGAAATCCCGGGAATGCTCAGAATGGAAAGCGCAGAGATAAAGAAGTGGCCCAAGCTGAGGCCCGGGAGAAACGCCATATCGGGCTTGAAGACGAAGAGGAGGATTCGGAGCCCGCACCGCATCGCCAGAAGAGACACCACGGGTGTAACTTCATCATTGGAGGAAATACTGGCGGGGATTCAGCCATGAGCCGGAAGAAATGGGCTAACGCGGCGATGGTTAACAAGGTGCTGGTCCCGGAAGGTAAGAAGCTGAAAACCGAGCCAATTGTATTTTCTAATGCTGATCTTCCAAAGACAGGGGTCCCTCATAGGGACGCCCTAGTAATTACTATTGATATAATGGACTTACTGATCCACAAAACCCTTGTGGATACGGGAAGCTCCGTTAATATCATGTATATGGATACGTACAAGGCTCTCGGTTTGACAAGAGATGAATTATCACCCATCAAGACTCCACTAACCGGGTTCACTGGTGACTCTATTGAACCAGAGGGGGTAATAACCCTCCCGGTTGAGATAGGGGATACTAAGGCAACCCGGTGTTGAAACACGGGTTTATCGTGTTTTCGTACTAAAGCCGTGTTCGTTTTTATGACAGGTTTTGATAATGCCAAACCGCCGTGAACGAGACAAGTTATTGAATATACAAGGCGAGAAATAAATATAAGAAGAAAGCAAGAGAACAAGACCCAAAAGAAGACCAAGAACGAAGACCGTTGTCTTAGTGTTGTTGAGTCGGTCATAATTGTGATCAAGACCGACCCAACCTTTACACCTTGGCTCTTTAGGCTAAAATTCTTTTCATTGGATTTCACACATCATAAAAATGTTTTTCAAACATGTTTAAAACATTAAAAACACTTGGTGTTCGCCCAAACCAAAAATCAAGCCATCCGGCGTTCGGGTTTCAGAAACCGGCGTTCGGCATTTGGTTTTCGGCGTTGGTTTTTGGCGTCCGAACTAACCAAGTGGTTTTCAACTTTTTATGACTGGTTTTTACTTCTGGGCACATTTAAATAGTTTTTCATCAAAAACACTTCAAAAACCACCTTTCGTTTTTTGTCGTTTGATAAAAACCATGCGAAACGGCATAAACTTGGCTAGCCGTGGTTTTTACTTAAATGAAGTGGTTTTCAAGTCTTTTTGTGTGGGAATTGTTTTTGGATGCATTTAAATGGTTCTCCAATCAAAACATCATGAAAACCACCTTTCAGTTTTGTCTTTTGGTGAA